GAACTATGAGGAAAAGGTGACAGATGGAGGTCTCCCCAAGAGCAGGTCAGAGGCCTGGTAAAAATAGCACTCTTAGGGGCTGGCCAGATTTGCCCCAAACAATAAACTTTTGTCATTGGAACGCGGGACCCGGAGAGAAAGGTAAAACAGAGAATGAGCTCCACTGACTCACTTCTCTAGCATCATGGATACCCAAGCTCAACATTGATGCAAGAAGTAGAGTCTGACAGAGACCCAGGACACAGTCAATCCATCTGGAGACGGGGGCACTTTAGACCTCTAATGGTACCTTTGTAGAGAGGGCAGGGTCCCGGTTGGGGCAGGGCTGTCTCCTGGGCTGTCCCCCTTTTGGGCATTCTCTGCAGAAGTGCCTCTCCCGTCCACAATGGTAGCAAGTTTGGCAGCAGGCCCCAGTTGTGTGGGAACCCGCTCTGAGAGCAGCAATGAGGTCATCATGTCTCTTATCTTTTCTCTACTTTTAGTAACGTCTCGGTTAGATATATAGTCATGGCTAGCTGTATTAGTTGGTCCAGTGATTTTTTTTTCCCCTTCAGCCACAGACTTTTGGAGTTTCTACAGCTATCTGGGGCTGACTGTGTTAGAAATTTATCTTTGAGGAAACCTCTCCCGCCTGTGACTGGGTCCACTGTGGTATGCTTTCTGATAGCATCCTTAAGATGCTGTAGAAAGGTGAGGGTTTTCTTCAGGGCCTTGCTGTACTACCAGTTACCTGGGAATAGTGTAGAGGTTGTCTTTGGCCCTTTTTTAGCCCTTCCACTATAAAAATGGAAAAAGTGGCATTGATGCCATTCATCCTTCCACCATTTTGACTCCAATGTGGATCTGCCAAGGGGACTGTCTGTGCCCCTGTGTGGTATACATGTATACCCTCTTTTCAGGTACCACGAGTATTGGGACTCATTGTAAATGGTAAATCATTTCCAACCTTAGTGGCCTGGGCCAGGATCCATTGCTTTTCTAATGAGAAAGAGTCTGGTCTAGTAGAAGCATAAAATCCTTTCCATGTCAATTCAAAGGTTTGGATCACAGAGATAAAGGCCCTCACCGCTACTGCTCCACCCTCTGCCCTACCTTCTAAGTCGGCGCCAATATTAAGAATCTTCTAATGCAGGCTTCCCCCTTCAACAGGCAATGGTAAGAAGAGGAAAGTCTATGTCCCTTCCAGTTATCAGCTAAGGGAGATTAAAAAGAATCTGAGCCTTGTCATTGATAAGGGGCTTTTCTGGTCCTCCTTCTCCATGTTTATCCTGTGGCTTTATAAAGAATGGCCAGTGTTTAAGTATCTAAATAGCAATTGTGGAGCCATTCTGGGTGGTCTTGGAGATGAAGGAAAAAGTTATATATAGGCTCAATCTACTTTTTTCCCTTTTACAGAAAAGGTCTAATTGGAGTATGGTATTATAATTTAAGAAACCCTGTGAAGGCCACTCCTCTTTGGTCATCTGAGGGCCAGCCTCAGAATAAAGCTTCCAGTGTTTCCTTTCAATGTTTCAATAGGTAGGCCAGTGGAGATCACTTGGTACCAAGGCCAGAAGACTGGAAAGGCAGGTCCCATATACATGAACTGTCAGACTCCCCTTTTATTGGCATCCTGACTGGGGATTGATCCAATTAACAAGACCAGGCATCCCTGTCTCATGACTTTCCCCACCATCCATGGCCAGGACCAGGGAAAGTGAACTTGGTTGGTTTAGGCCACCTGACAAATGCAGTGAGAAAACAAAAAACCAAAATGCTAGGATCTACCTTTTAGCTAACAAATGGGGCCTCTTTAATAAAGGCTACCTTTTTAACAAAGGAATGGATCATCTGTAAAGTTAGAGAAGGGCATTCAGAGGGTGTCCTGGGGCATTCACAGTGCCACAAGGGATGACTGGTGCTAATATTTGGAGAGAAAAATTTTTATGCTGAGGCCCAAAAGTATAGAAATTTTAAATGAGAAGTTTAGAGACCACAGTAAACGCCCATTTTGCTGTTTCTGGACTATAACCTTGATAACAATTGAATTACAAGGACTGGGTTGGTCAGGTCCAATGCGTAAGGTGGGACTGGAATGGGGCTTGAACAAAGTGCCTCCCCTCCACACCTGGGATGAGCGACCCCATCTGTCTAGGCCCCACCCTGTGGCCCATTGCCTTCCCTCCCTATAGTATACACGCGTCTGTGCAGCCTGTGTGAGTTTATTTTCCTCATCACTTTTTTGGAATGGCAGCAGGTGCAGTTGCCACTGTGTATGGCTAGCGGCTTTGGATGTGTGCCAGGCCCACTCTATGGACTGTATAACTATGGCAGGCGTCCCCACTTGCGCCAGGGATGGCATCCCTGTGCGTTCCCACTGTGCCCAGGGGAGGCATCCCTGTGCGTTCCCACTGTGCCCAGGGGATGGCATCCCTGTGCGTGCCACTGTGCCCAGGGATGGCATCCCTGTGCGTGCACGCACCCGTTTCCCTCCTCCCCTTGGGGAGGCGGAGTTAGGGCGTGAGTCTGTGGAGTCTGCAGTTTTCTGTAAGTTCTCTGTCTCTGCTTGGCGTCTAACAGCTGATTTAAAGCTATTGTGGACAGAGGGACCTGACAAACTAGTTGTGGAATTAACTTAAAAAAGTCGTAAGACATCATGCTACAAGTTCTTCATGGGAGGAGGCCAGGGTCCCAGTAAGCCCGGGGAGGGGAAGACCAGGGAGGGAACAGAAAAGATGTCCTGACATCTTAGGAAAGGGAGGGGAAGGCAGAGCCTAGAGGTATTATGCACGCCTGAGGGCTCAGCAATCTCGTGTGCTTCTAGGTCACTCCACTGAGTGGTACTGGACACTTTTCAGCAACACGAAACCTCCACTCTTGGGTTACTGTCTCAGGCAGAAGGGTATTAGACGGGGGGAAAAACAGAAGCAGTTGTCAGGTGCCATAACCAATCAGACTCCCCCAACATAGCATGAGGCATACCGGAAAAACCCCGAGCTTGGTCTCAGCCCACAGGGAGGGAGCATGAGCACCCCAGAGCCGGAATCACCGTGAGGCCAGAGTTGGCAGGGAGCAGCTGGCTTGACACCATAATGGGAAAGTCCCTCAGGAAGATAGGAAGAGTCAGGCAGGGTGAGCAAAGCAAGGATGTCTCCTTTTGGCTAGTCCTCAGCTGGGGGTTTCCCCCGGCAGGAGCATCCAGCAGGGCGCTGGACACTCAGTGGTCACACCTTAGGCATGCCCCTGTTGGTTTGATACTTAAGTCATATTGACCTTGGTCCAGAAGAAAAAGTCCTTCGTGGTCGCCAAAATGTTATGTGCTGGTTTGAAGTGTTGTAGGCTGGGGTTGAGGGTCCTTGCCTTCACAGATCAGGGAACGGCTCATGAGGCAGCTGAATGATGAGCCAAACTTGGGATATATAAAGTGGGATTTATTAGAAGAGAAAAAAAAGGCTACAGCTAGAGGAGTGCAGTGGAGCCCGGAAACTGGTAACTTGCTGCTCAGGTGAAGGCTGGGTTTTTATGGACGTTCTAACTCTGGGTTAGGTGGGTTTTTCTCATTGACTGTGGATTCTTGGCTTTCTTAGGTGAACTGGTTTGGTTTGCACCTTTATTGGGGGAGGGAAGGAAACAATTTTGAGAGCATTTTGCTCATCAGCCCTGTGGCAGATCTATCAGACTCTGTATCTTTCTTTAGGATGCAGAAATGCAGTTTACAACTCCCTCTCAGGGTGCAGAAATGTAGGCCTCTAACTCCTCTCAGGATACAGGAATGATATGGATTTCCAGGGGGGATGGGCTACCCATTCATCTACCTTAGGTCTCCAGACCCAACATAAGCTAAACAGTAAGAATTAATTTACCTTTTTTTTTTTTTTTTAAATTCAAAGCGCAAATTTCCAAAAAACAACCCAGTTCATAAGTTAACTGAAGAGGAGCTGCTGGCATTTACATCGGTAGAGTAATGTCTTTGCTTTCCGTGTTGTTCTTTTTCTTGCAAATTATTTTGCTCTGATATGCACTTGCCTTAGATTGTGCATGTTGAAACACTGATACATGAGGAAGTCAGTGAAAAAAACCTCATCATTTTAGTTTCCAAGTTGCATGTTTCTTGCTTCTGACTTAAGCATAATCAGTGTTCTTTGTACTTAGATTTGGAGTCAGTGACCAAATATTTCTTGCTCATTTTTTTTAATCCCAGAGCCTATTCTATTTTCTTGCACTTTATAGGTGCTCAATAAAATATTTACTGAATGAATAAATGAAGTTGCAGAGGCCAGAGCCGATATACTCTGCAAATGTTATGCCTAAGAGTGAGAGTGATGCCTATGTGGGTTTATTTAAGGGGAGAGCTTGGGTAGGAGAGCATGGGCCATGAGGTTAAAGGAAGGAGAGGGAGTCGATAGTATGGGTGCTTGTCAGCATTCAATAGTGTAGAGCAGTCAGTAGAGAAATGCGGACAGAGAAGAGGCTGTGGGATTTTACAATTAGCATGCATTGCTTACTGTAGTGTGGTTTCAGTGGATTATCTGAATAGCCACCTCACTGCAGAGATATAAGGAGGGAATTGAGTGTGAGAAAACAAAGATGGCAGATAAAGACCACAGTTGGAGAAGAATAGGAATGAAAAGGAAAGATGGAATAGCATGTATTTGGGGATTTGATGGCCATAAAGGGTTTTCAAGGAGAGAGAAGTATGTAACAGAGGAGGGGTCGGTAAGAATATTTTTGGTTTTATGGATATAGAGAAGATACATGTGTTCTTTAATGAATACAAGTTGCTTAAGATACATAACTTTTTCAAAGTCATTTTAATTATCATAGATGGGAATCTGCATTCTCTGAAGTTGTCTTCCTTTGTTATTGTAAATTTTGCAAATTGTTGTTTTGTACACACCATCTTGGAGCTGGTTAGGTAGTAGTCGTTTGAATCCTCTGTGTTCCTGTTTTATTTCCCACTTAAGTGTTCTTAGAAATCTTAGATGTGCATCATTATTTCATGTGTGTTTTAGGTGACTGGAATTGTCCCTGTTTATTTATCCCATGTGCTGTAAGGAACTTGGCAAGTGGTAAAATTGTTTTAAAATCATATAAAACTCATGTACACGGGCTCTCTTGCTGGGGTCCTCCCCTCCGTAGGGCTTCTTCTCCACAGTAAACCCTGTGCTGGTGTTTTGAGCTGTGTCTCTATCTATCCATTCTGTGCCATTCTTTCATTTCTAAGAGTAATTCTGTTTCACTTACTGGGGTTTGATTTCAGGGCTTACACCTCGAGTCACTCCACCAGCCCTTTTCTGTGATGGTATTTTTTGAGATAGGGTCTCATGAACTACTCCTGGGCTGGCCTCGAACCGTGATCCTTCTTGATCTGTTTCCTGAGTAGCTATGATTACAGGTGTGAGCTACCAGTGTCTGACCATTTGTGTGTTTTCAAAGACTGAATTCTACATGAATCATCCTCTCCAGGGGAATAAAAAACCTTATGTACATTTCATTTATTCATTCAGTTTAATGTTTGTCAAGTACTTAATATACATAGCCATTTCACTGGTCACTGGAAATGCAACACTAAACAAAGTCCTTTCCCTTTTAGAGTTTCCATCAATGTACATTCTTGTTGGGGGACAAACACTGAGGACAGAGAGAGAGATACTTAATAGAAGTGCTAAGGAGGAATGAAGCAGGGTAAGGGACTAACCATGGAATGCGGGTGCGTGTTTTAGCAAGGTGGTCTGCGCAAACCTCAGTGGGAGGGTGATAATTGAGCACAGTCTGCCTGAGGTGGGTGCAGGGAAGGGTATGGAAGGTCTGGATTGGCCATGAGCTTGAGTCCATCAAGGGAAGTACAGAGATGAAGAAGGACAAGTGTCTGGTGACAGACAACCTGGAGGCTTGGGTTTCTTATGACTCAGATGAACAGGCATGTGGCAAGTGACAGAACATGTTCCTGCTGGTCTCCAATAGGGAGGATGATGGGTCTATAAACAGTTCATTGTGGTGCCTGTGTTATCCACAATTACCCTGAAAAGACACTCAACACTCTTTACATCTGGACCGTTAAATTTCTTAGCACTTTTTTGTGGGTAGGGAATTTTTCTTTCCTTTCTTTAACTTGTTCTTGTCCTCTCTGCTGTGAGGAGCTTTTGAAGTCATTAACCCTGTGACTTCTGATGGTAGGTGACTCATCACTCCCAACTTGCAGCAGAGGCCATATACTCACATGGCATGCTTTCCTGTATGGGCCTTATGCCCCACAGTGCTCATTTCTCTTCCCAGCCAGAGCTGACCTGAGGACTGACCTCATCTCCTCTGCTGAGAAAGCTTTTTGATTACAGACACTCCCAGTGCTAGGCCTGTCTTTTCTAAAGAGATGATGTTAATCTCCAGGAAATCTTTAGTTTCTAAGAAATAGGACAGACAATTTAGATGTGAAGAGGGCTTTTAGGGGCCCCAGACATACTTGTCCCATTCTTCCTTTTTTCTGTCCTAAGTGAAGCATACAAAATATACCATAAAACCCCAAATCATCCAGGTGCTGGTAGCTGTCACCTGTAATACTAGCTACTCAGGAGGCAGAGATCAGGAGGATTATGGTTTGAGGCCAGCCTGGGCAAATAGTTTGCGAAACCCTGTCTCAAAAAAAAAAAAAAAAACAACAAAACAAAAAAACATCTCCATTAAAAGGTCTGGTAGAGTGGCTCAAGGTGTAGGCCCTAAGTTCTAGACCCAGTACCGCAAAAAATAAAAAATCCAAATCAGTTCTCATCAACTTTCCTTTGTGCCTGTCAGTCCTTCCTCTTACTTCTGCTTTGTGCATGATACTGAAATGGATAAGAAGATGAATTAGAAGAGACTCCTGGTTTCAATGAAAAAAGAAACTTTGTTTGTATAGTGGTGTTTTCATACCAATGGGTTCTGCATTCACAGATTCAGCTATCCATGGATTTAAAATATTTGAAAAAAAAATTGTATATGCAGTGAACATTTACAAACTGTTTTTCTTGTTATTGTACCCTAAAACGTACAGTATGACAACTCTTTACATATGTGGAGTTGATTTGAAGTGTAAGGGAGAGTATGTGCAGTTTTTTTGTAAATACTATATGTTTTTTTGTAGGAGAATTAAACATCCTTGGGTTTTGGTATTTTTCAGGGAGCTCTTAGAACTAACCCTCCACAGATACTGATGGACAACTATATCCAAGAGTATTTGAGCCAGTTGGGTCTACTTTGAGGTGCTGTCCCCCTTTGGCAAGGGTCATGTTTGGCTTGTATTAGTTATAATTAGTTATGTATCTGCCTTCACCAGACAATAAATTACCCACTTTAGGGACTGGGCTCTTCATTTCTGGGTCCTTTACATGACCTGGTGTAGTGCTTCAGTTCTTACTTCTAGTTGTTACTTACTAAATGTGTGCAGATAAAGAATAAATGCGATATACTACAACCTGGAACGGGATCATCTTCTGTTCTGCACGTTATCAGTCTACACAGCTCCAAAATTTAGGAACTAAATTGTGATGGTTTGTATGGCCACTTGTTTCGTCTACCTCTTCTGTAAAATGGGGGAAATGGTGATGTGTCCCTGCCCCAGCACCCAGAACTTGTTTTGAGAACAAATTGCAGAATGTACATAAAAGTACTCTACAGTCAGTAGAGAGGCTGATGTGCGTATAGCATTCAGAGATGAGCTGAGGGACTGGAGGCATGGCTCAAGCTGTAGAGCACCTGCTTTGGAAGTGCGAAGGCCCAGTCCCACCAAAAAGAAACAAAAAATAAGAATGAGAATGACAATTATTTTGTGTCTCAAGGGGTAGAATGCTTGCCTAGGAAGCATGAGGTTCTAAATTCAAACCTCAGTACTGCCAAGAAAAGAAACAAAAGAGAAACAGATGATCTGAAGTGTGTGGTCCCTGGTTTGTAGGAGAGCATTCCTATTTCTGAGCAGCCTGAATGGGTAAGACCTGTCTGGAACTGGCTGAAGATGTGGAAGAGAAGAGAGCAGAGGGGATAGGAACAGTGTACTCATTCTCATTAGGCATCCATCTCTCTTCTCTGGCAGCAGCCTGGTGGCCTAGGCCTTGGGCTGTGAACTCTTGGGTTATGTGTCTTCCTCTGTTTATGGAACAGCAAGTACAATACATATCTTAACATCCTGCCAAAAGATTATAAGCCCTTGGAGAGAGACAGAAAAAAACAAGGGTTTTTGGCATTTGGTAAATATTTATTCAGTAAACAATCAAATAGCTTACTGGTGCTGAATTTTGTTCGGTTTTAATGAACTGTCCTAAAATTTACAAAAATACTGGGGAAAACTATATTTTTGAGAACTTTTTGCTAGTGATTTCAAGTTGGCAGTGTGTGTTGAAATATATTGATATGTTGGAAAATGTCTTAATTCAGCAGTCAGAAGCTTTTCTAAGAGGAATAGCTTTACTTGTTTAAGGCTGTTGTTATGTGGTGCTGTTCCTGAGAAATTGTATATATATGTTTCAGGAAAACTGACTGAGTCATAGTAAAAATAACCCATATTGCTGTAAAGAACCATTTATATTGTATGACTTGATAATTTAAAATTAACTGTGATATCTACGTTATTTCCTTTCAAATGAGCCAAGCCAATGACATTCAGTAATGTTTTTAATCTCCTTTCATTGCTGAAAATGGGAACAATTTAGTTAATTCATACAGGTGTTTCAGCTTTCATTGGCAAAAGTTTTGTTTAAGTGTGAATTGATACTGGCAGCTTGCCTTTTGACTGTCTGCCTAAAGCCCCAAGGTTTCTATAAATGAAAGAAAGAAAAAGTCCTTTGGAAGTTTCATGTTATATCGTATGTATTTTCTCTTTCTGCTATTGATTTTTTTTTTTTTTTGAGACAGGGATCTCACTATGTTGCCTAGACTAGTCTTGAACTCCTAGGCTCAAGTGGTCTTCCTGCCTCAGCCTCCTGAGTGTTAGGACTACAGGCACATGCCACCACATCTGGTATGCTATTGATTTTGAAGCTACATAATATATACTACTATGAATATAAAATAGTTTGTAACCATTTTTGCAGATTAAAATGATCACCTGTTTTTCTTTTAGCGAACACTCGTTGTTTAATTTATTAAGATAGGCAGTATAACTGAATTAGCAGTGGTACTTTTCTGATACTTTGTGTTACTGAAGTTAATCACTTCAGAAGTACCTCACAGTATAAAGGAACCAGCACAGAGACCTGAGCAAAATAAAACAAAGAAAACCATGCCTATACAGACATAGTCAACCTGCTCAAAATAAAACAGTGTTTTGATAGCAAACAGAAAACTGACACATTCCATGAGAGTAACAGTAACTGCCAACATCTTCCCCTTCTTATCAGGAACTGCATGCTGCATCATCTTTCTGCTCTGTGCTTTCTTCTAGCCCATCCAGTCTGGAATGGACCTGGGGACTGATTTCTTTTTCTCTTCACAGCTAACCATGTATTAAGATTCATGTTTGTGAATTTCATTTCCAGTTATGTTGGAGTAACGGGTACTGGGGCTTGAACTTCCCATTGTACATGCCTACATCTAGAAAATATGTGATAGCTTGTATAGATAGAATAATAAATCATGGCTAAATAGTATTTATCTCAGGAATACAAAAGTAGTTTAATATGAACCAATGCAATTCACTTTATTAGTAAAGGAGAAAAAACAGTGGTATGTCTAAAACCAAATGGTACATCTAAATCTCACCACATGAAAACAGCATTAAATGTTAATGGATAAATACTCCAAATAAAAGTCAAAGATCTCTTAATCAAAAAAAAAGGCAAAGATGCAACTGTGTGCTCTTACAAGAAATGTATTGTAAATACAGAGTCCATAGGTTGAAAATAAGTGGATGCAAAATATCCCAGAAAAACAGGAAGTATAAAAGGCTAGATTTATAATTTAATATCAGATTAAAATGGGCTTCATTACAAATGATGACTTCTAGAGACAAAGAGGGCTATTTTATAATAAAAAAAATCCCAAAATTTACCAGGAACACAGAACTATTATAATGTATGTCCTATAATAGCTAACATGATTATACAAAAGAAATTGAAATTAAAGTGAGAAACACATAGTGTCACAATCATAGTTGATGATTCCAGTGCTCTTCTAGCAATGGATGGAATAACTAGACAAAAACAGTGAGTGAACATGTAGATAATTTGGACAATACTTTCAATCACCTTGACCTAATTGATGTTTATAGAATAGTATCTTCAGAATACATGGTCTTTTGAAGTGCAAATGATATCTTCAACAACACTAGGGCAATGCTAAGACAGTAAAACAAGAACCAATAAATGAATAAAAAAATAATGCCATTTGAACCAGAATGGAATAAGTGGCACAAGCAATTATTAAATCTCTTTTTAAAAAACACTCAAATAATTATAAACCAAATAATTAAACAACATACTTTATCCATGGATCAATGAAGAAATCACAAAGGATTTTTTTTTCTGGTAGGACTGGGGTTTGAACTCAAGGCTTTGAGCTTGTAAAGCAAGTGCTTTACCACTTGAGCCACACTTCCAGTCCATTTTGCTGTGGTTATTTTGGAGATGAGGTTTTGTGAACTATTTGCCTGGGCTGGCCTCGAACTATGATCCTCCTGATCTTAGCCTTCCAAGTATCTCGAATTACAGGCTTCAGCCATTATTGCCTAACTATAAAAGAAATTTATATATAAAAGTAAATCATTAACCTAAATCATGATCCCATTACAAAAAATTTTCTCCTATGTTTTATTGCTGTAATGTTATGGTACTGAGCAGTTTTGTTTTTGTTTTGTTTTTTTTTTTAGCTGAGACACAGATGTATGACCCATAAAAGAAAAGCGTTATAAGTTGTATTTCATTAATATTAAAATCTTCTGTTCTTTGAATAATAACATTAAAAAAGTGAAGACAGCCACAGACTGGGAGACCAAAATTCCATATACTTGTATTTCACAAAAGGCTTATATCTGCAATCAAACCTCTTCCAATTCAGTAATAAATAGATAACAAAAACCAATTAAAATGGATATGATTTAACAGTTTGCCCTCCGTTTCTGGTGTGTATTCAGATTCAACCAACCTATATCAAAAATATTTGGAAAGAAATGAGGCTGTACCTGAACAGGTATAGACTTTTTTTCCATTCTATCAGTAGAATAACCATTTTCCTAACATTTGCATTATGTTAGGTACTATAAGTAATTGAGATAATTTGAAGTATATAGAGCGATGCATATGGAAGGGACTTGAGCATCTGAGCATTTTGATATTTTGGAATTCTAAAACCAGTCTTCCTGAAAGACATGAGTTAAAGATGCCAGATGTATGACTTAGTTGGGATTCTAGGAATAGTTAAAACTAACTCAAAATGGCAGAAAGTAGTCCACAGATTGATTGCAAAGTGGAGCAAAGGAACCTTTCAGGCTGATGGAAAATTTCTGTAACTTGATTTAGTAGTGCTTACGTAGGTGTGTAATATTTGTCAAAACAGATCACAATGTACATTTTTAAATTGTATTAGTCAGATACTTCCCTAAAGGGAAGAATACATGTGTGTTATATATATATAATATTTAAGATTAATTAACAAAATAGATCTGCATTTCAGTATACATCAGTCTTTGTCATTAGTTTCATAAATACAACACAAACTATTTAGTCTATCTAATGTATTAAGTAGAAAGAATGTAGAAGGAGAACAAATATCCAGTAGGAAATTGCTCAGTGGTCACATGCATGATGTTATTTACTGCTTTTCCTGAGGACATCTATTAAAATAAAGTTCATCATTAATGCACGGCTTCAAGCACCTTCTTGTGTTAATGGAGATATAAGTAGATTGTTAGTAGAATTTAAATCTGCAAATGCCATTTTTAGGAGAATCTGTTTTTGGCCTTGAGATTCAGTCTTGGTTGTGTGGCAAAACATTAACATTGGGGAAAACGGATGAAAGATATATAGAAATTCTTTTTTCTCTTTAATCTATTTTTTATTAGTGATATTACTTGTATAAAATAATGGGTTTCACTTTGACATTATCGTGCATGAATATAAAGTACTTTGGTCGTATTCACCTCTCCCCATTACCCTCTCTGGTTCCCCTTTCTCTTCCCACTGGTCTCCGTCCTGTTCTCAAATAGTCCTTCTATTTTTATTTTAACAATTTACAATCTGCAGATGAGAGAAAACATGTGATAGTTGTCTTGAGTATTGATCATTTCACTCCAATTCCATCC